ATTTCAAAATGTATTTACTGCTTCCATGAGTGAGAAAGACAGACAAGAGACAGAGACAGCACCCCCAATAGAATCAGTCTGTAAGCTGTGATCCACCCCCAGCTTCAGCCAGTTCTGGTATTCCCAGGGAGGTCTCCAGATGCAAACTAGCAACCTTCTCATATGGGCCTGCCTCACAGAGCCCCACGTTTTACCACTGCACCATTATCTGTAGCCCTTAAAGTTTTCTAATTCCTACTGTTTAGTAATAAATCTACACAGAATTGGGCCAGCTCAGTGGTATAGCAGTAATGTGTTGCTCAAGCAATGCTGGATGCATATGGAAGATTGCAGGTTCAGTTCCCCAGTTGACCTGTAAACACAGGATGTCCACACAATCCTTTCTGGCTGGGAAGGCTGGGGTGGGGACCACAGTATGGGACCCTGTTGACTGTGATTACCTTTCTCTCTCTGTCTCTCACACTCATGAAAATAAAACTTTTAATAAATAAATCTGGGACCAGTAGGTGGCATAATGGTTACATCGCTGGACTCCCACATAGTCAGTCTGTAAGTGGGGTGGTTTGAGTCTGGGAACCAGGAACCAGTGGCTTAAAACTCACACCGGACGTATGTGCACAAAATCCCTAGAGGAGAATAGAGAAGGGATTGCAGTGTGACCATTCTCCCCAGGGTGGGGTGAGGTAATTTCTCACTTTCTGTCTCTGTCTCTCTAGTGAACACATGCATCCTATAGCAAAAATATCTCTAAATTAAATAAATAAATAGAAGAGAATTTCATACAAAGCTTTCTTTTTTTGGAGAGAGATTTTTGCCATAGGGCACACACATTCTTCTGAGAGATAAAGAAAGACAGAAAGCAACAAATCACCCCTCAGGGGGAATGACCCTACCACAATCCCTTCTCCATTCTCCTCTCAAGATTTTGGGTATGCACACACACATGCCCAGCATGAGTTTTTAGCCTCTAAGTCCAGGACTCAAACCACAGTCTACTGTGGGAGTCCAGTGACACAACCATTACACCATCTGCTGATCCCATACAAAATGTTTTTTCTTATGTGGAAATTAACCTAAAAATATACTCTGCTTATGTTTAAGACCTTATGCTTTTTATCAGTTGAGGAGTTCAGCTTAATAATCCTCTAAGATCTAAAATAATAGGAAAAATACTAAAAGTAGAAAATGGAAATAAAACGTCAAATTATTTCAAACTCGCCCTATGGTGCAGCAGTTAAGCACTGTGCATTCATTACAAGCCAGATCCTGGGGGCCAGCAGGTGGCATGGTGGTTAAGGTGCTGGATTCTCACATGGCTGACTGCAGTTTGAGTTGCAGACCTGGTGGCTTGAAAATGATGCCAGGATTTGAATGCATGCCCATAATCCCAGGAAAGGAATGGAGAAGGGTTTACAGTGCAACTATCACCCCAGTGAGTGATTTATCACTTTCCGTGCCTCTTACCTCTGTCTCTCCCTGGTGAGTGCATATGCCCTATGGCAAAAAAAAAAAAAAAAAAAGCCAGACCCTGGGCCAGTCACTACACAGTTAGTTGGTGGTTAAGGCAGGAGGATCCCACATGGCCAACTACACAGTAGAAGTATGCATGTATACCAGAAGTCCTGAAAAAATGGGAAATGGAGGAAAAGGTATTATGGGATGGCTATTCCCATGGGAGGAGATTTCTCACTTTCCCTCTGACGGTCTCTCTCCAGGTGATCACATGTGCCCTCTCGCAAAATTAAAAAAAAAAAAAAAAAAGGCCAGATCTCACATGACTGACCACACTTCCAATCCAGGTCCCGGTGAATTAAGAAACATCCTGGGCACAGCATACCTGAAATCTCTATTGGAAGGAAAAAGAATTACAGGGTGACCACATCCCACTGGGGGATGCTTTTTCTTTCTCTCTTGCGAGCGTACTTGTCCTCTGACAATTTTTTTTAAAAAGTCAAAATGGTTCTTGCAACTATAAAATGCTTTTGAAGGACAAGCAGTTGGCGTAATGGCTGTTGTGGGACTCCCGTGTAGTCGACTGTGGTTCGAATCCTGGACTTGGTGGCTTAAACTCATGCTGGGCACGTGTGCATGTGTGCCCAAGATCCTGAGAGGAGGGACCAGCAGTTAGCGTAATGGTTATGTCGCTGGACTCCCACGTAGTCGACCGTGGTTTGCCCAGTGGCGCCCCTCAGGTGCAAGTGCGTGCGTGTCCAAGATCCAAAGAGGAGAATGGAGGAGAAGGGATTGAGGCGTGGCCATCCCCCCTGTGGGGTGATCTCTCGCTTTCTGTCTCTGTCTGTTTCAAAAAACACCCACACAAAAAAAAAAAAAAAAAAAAAAAAAAAAAACTCTCAAAAAACAAAACAAAACAAAAAAGATCCTGAGAGGAGACTGAAGGAGAAGGGATTGTGGCATGGCGATCCTCCCTGGGGGGTGATTTCTTGCTTTCTGTCTCCCTTTCTCTCTCTGTCTTCTGGTGAGCACACACACCATATAGCAAAAACCTCTCAAAAAAATTAAAACTTAAAATGCTTTTCGAAAGAAAATATTAAGCTCTACCTTTTTGTGTGTGCTGGCTATTGCTTTGCAAAGAAAGAAAGCTCTGTACAAATCCCCAGAGATGAGTCATAAAGTAATAAGACTGATTTCATATGTGGGGGGAGGAAGAGGAAGGCATAGACCCAAGACCAAAAAGATATTCCATACCATGGACTGTGAGTACATATTTTGACTGTAATCAACAATGCATGAAAGAGCTGGCCAACAGCTTTCCTAACTAAAGTTGTAATGTAAACCATGAATCAATCAATAACTTCTGTTGAGTAAAAATCTAAATTTTGTGTCTATTTATTTATTTATTTGGAGAGGTATTTGCTATAGGGCACATGCTGCACTCACCAGAGAGACAGAGACAGAAAGTATGAAATAACCCCCCCTTCCCCAGGGGAAGGCCATGCCACAATCCCTTCTCCTCCATTCTCCTCTCGGGATCTTGGGCACACACACATATGTGCCTGGCATGAGTTTAAGCTGCCAGGTCCGGGATTCAAACTGCAGTCGACTACATGGGAGTTCAGCGACATAGCCATTACCACAACTGCTGGTCCCTAAATTTTGTGTTTAAATGAAGTCTTTAATTCAAGCAAGAGGTTTTTTTTTTTTTTTTTCTTAAGAGAGAGATTTTTGCCATAGAGTATGTGCGCTCACAGGAGAGACAAAGAAATCACCCCTCAAGTGGGGATGGCCACACCACAATCCCTTTTCCTCTATCCTCCTCTCAGGATTTTGGGCACTCATGCACATGAACCCAGCTTGAGTTTCAAGCCGCCAGGTCCAGGACACAAACCATGGTCAACTACGTGGGAATCTAGCACCTTAACCACTATGCTACCTATTGGTCACTCAAGCAAGACTTTTAAATGTTAAAAAGAGCTTATGAGGATTCTTCAAAAAGTTCACAGAACAAAAATCCACAGCAAGTGCGTACTGTGGAAAAAACATGCAAGCATTTCAAAAATGTTTTGCAATAAGACAAACCTGTACTATAATTCCATTTTCCAGAAAGTTTTGAAGTACCCTCTTATAAGTAAGAAGTAATATCATATTACGTAAGGGTTTTAACACAGGACTGGGAAAATATCTATGACAATACTTAAATTGTTGCCTAATTACCCCCAAAACTGACAAAAACATGGAATAGGTCAAAGACTTGGGTCATTCAAATAGCTGATCAATGGAGAGAAAGAAGGTTGAAAATTAAACATAGATAAGTGTTTTCATTCTCAACAACAATGTGAACACAGGACCGGCCCCCTGAAGCCTAGTGGTTAAGGGAGCCAGATCTCATATTGCAGACCATGGTTCAAACTCCAGCCCCAAAGGCTTGAAAAATACACAGGTAGATAGATGCACATGTATGCTCAAAACCCTGATGGAGAAATGGAAGAGAAGGGATATGTGACATGATCATGACTCATTGGAGGGTGCTTTCACCCTCTCCCTCCATGTCTCTCCGGCAAGTGCACATGCCCTCCAGCAAACAAACAAACTAAATAAATAATAGTTTGAAAAGTGAACATAAACAAGTTTCTACAAAGATGAACTATGGAACTCATTCGTAAAATAGCAAAGACTGGCCATTTACTCTAATCTTTGATAAAGCTAGGAGAAATCCTTAAAGGAAAATAGTAGTAACTCATAGGAAATATAAGCCCAGCATGAAACCAGAAACATTCTAAAGTAATGAGAATGAAACATTCATTGATCAAAGAAAATGTGAATAATAAAGTTCATGTGTAAAGATTGCAATTATTTTGCTTCATCCCACAATGTCAATATTATGACACATTTCTGATTGGATGACAGGAAGAGTAACTGTGGCTCAAAAGTGGCTTCTTCAATCTGGCTCCATATGTGCTTTCTGGGAAGCAATTGTTGACCCCATCTTATTTATAAGATATAGCTCCAAATGACTGATGACTCCCCTCAAATCAATCTAATTCCAGAGAGGATATTCGCCATGAGTAAGTACAGTCAAAAAAGTATCCCAAGTCCCAACAGCAATTCATAAAAGGACTTTAACAACAACGACAAACCTATAAAATAAGTAGATAGCTTTCAAGGTGACTAGTTTCAAAAAGATAATATTTACTCTGATGTAAAGTATTAATGAATATTTTATAAAAATCTCCCCATAACCAAATGAAATAGATAAGTAAATATAGTCTGCAGGATTGAAAAGAAAATACAGAAAAACCTACAGTTACCATTTTTTCAAAAATTCATAACTTAAATATACTTACACAGTAGCTCTTCAGTCTGATAAAATCTACAGTCATAGGAATGGATCTATCACTATTTCTATTCAGTGCTTTGATGTAATCCAGCAGGTCAGCAAAGAATTTATAGCCCCCCTTCAGCACACAGAGGGCTACGATGTGATGGCCTCCCATCTCCTTCATCACATCCCGAGCAAGCCGTTCAGTCCTACATAAATAAAATCAGAAATTTAATAGAAAGTTTAATTCATTTAAACTTCATATCAAGGGACTCTTAAGCATTAAGCTGCTACAAAACACATCCTTTGCCCTTGTGTCATAAAGCAAAATTAAACTGTAATACCTTAAAAATCAGGCACATTATAACATCACAAATTTTTTAAATGAAAACAAAAACAAGATGCTATTTTCACTAATAAGTGCTATTTTACAATTTCATTGGCGAATTCTGATGAAATTCCTTGATTTGGTTAATATATAACATTAGAACTGACTGTCAGTAAGGGGTATTCTCATACACCACTGGAAGTATTGAGTTATTCAACTTTTTAGAGGTTAATTTGACAGTACCAAAACATTCAAAACACCTTCCCCTTGTCTCTGAATTTTCACTTGTATAAAACTGAACAAGCACCAAATATGTGCAAAAGGATGTTTCCTCAAGTATAGTCTAAATGACAGAGATCTTGAGTATCCATCAATAGTGGACTGATTAAGTCACCTGTGGTACATTCATAAAATGAAATGCTATGTAATCTTTAAAATATATGGCATAACTCCAGATATAAAATAACAACCAGTAGGGACCAGCAGTTAGCATAATGGCTATGTCGCTGGACTCCCACGTAGTCGACCCCGGTTCAAGTCGGATCCAGTGGCTTAAATTCACACCGGGGGCATGCGTGCGTGCCCAGGATCCTGAGAGGAGAATGGAGGAGAAGGGATTGTGGCATGGCCATCCCCCCTGGGGGGTGATTTCTCGCTTTCTTTCTCTCTGTCTCTTTCTGGCGAGCGCACGTGCCTATAGCAAAAAACCTCTCCAAGAAAAGAAAAAAAAATCCAATAAATTTTAGAATTATGTGATAGTACATATCCATGTGTTAAAATATTTATGTATATATGCATATTTGTGTAGCCTATGTGCATAGCCAGAGTCTAGGGTAGGAATGTGTAGAGAAGGCTTCAAGAAAAAATCATGACTTATACATGGTGATTAGCAAGGCCTCCCTCTTTTTTTTTTTTTTTAATAAAGAGGACTTTAAAAATAGAAAGCATCGGGGAACCAGCAGTTAGCGTAATGGCTATGTCGCTGGACTCCCATGTAGTCAACCGCGGTTCGTGTCCTAGACCCGGTGGCTTAAAACTCATGCCGGGCGCGTGTGCGTGCGTGCCCAAGATCCCTAGAGGAGAATGGAGGAGAAGGGACTGCGGCGTGACCATCCCCCCTGGGGGGTGATTTCTCACTTTCTGTCTCTATGTCTCTCTCTGTCTGTCTGGCGAGCACACGCGCCCTACAGTGAAAATCTCTCC